AAAAAATATTTAGGTATATATCACAGGTAGGCAATTTTTAAAGTTTTAATTTTCCTATCACCAGAAATATTTTCAAAATTGTAAAAAATATTCGATATTCAGGGTGTTTTATATATTTTTCGACAATCCGTTAATTATTTATGATATTACACCGAAAAATAGTAAAATAAATTAATTTCAGGTAGGTGACGTAAATTAATTTATTGTATCCTGTCCTGTATTCTGTCCCGCCCTTGTTCAAGCAAAAATATTGGTCATCCAAAATTAACAGGCAAAGAGGGAGAAGCAATTTTTGTATTCTCTTTTTTTTTCCTCTAAAAACAACTTCAATGACGCAATTAACTGGTACGCCCTTCGTGCTCCGCTCTGCCGCTTCCGGTAAACGAGAATCGATGTAACGAGCAGCCCCGCAATCTCGATGTAATTTACATTAATTCATCGATATCGTAATAAATGAATACAGTCGCGTGTATGAACAGAAACATCGATCCATCATAATTTACTTCTGACAATGCCTGCTCGAAAATTCATTTCGGAAAAACTTTTGTTCCTCTCCATTCGTTTCCACAAAGTATATCTAATAACACACTGCCTTTTTCTAGAGGGTGGAAAAATGTAAAATCAAACCCTGTTTCTCAGACAACAAATAATTTTTTTTAATTATTCGTTACAAGTATTTACTCAATTTCTTCTTTCTTCTTTTTCAGAAAATTGGTTTCTAATTTTTGACAAAGTATAAATCATATATTTCTTTATTCATCCTTCTACCTATTTATTTCAAAATAGATTATTTCCTAACATTTTGAACGCAATTTCACAGAAATTTTGTTAACCTCATCGACTCACGATTATCTCATACAAAAATATAGCGTATGAATATATATAAAGGGTGTCCCAAAAAATGTATACACACTTTGCGTGATTATAAGAACAGAAAAAGAAGAAAGAAAATTAGAAAGAATAAGGTATTCATTTTAATTGCCATTATTATTACCATATATGTGGGATTGGAATAAGTACGGCCCTGGAAGAATGATAAGTGTGTTTGGGCTTAGAACGAAAGAGACCGCGTGCAAGAGGATCGATTGCAATGAATGTTTATGTTAGAATGAAAATTTATGAATGCAGCTGACTGTTTAGAATACGTGACCAACCGATTGAGAAGAGAGAACGTGGGTATAGATGAGAACAGAGTGAATGCTTAAATAAGGGTGCAAGGGCGCGGGCAGCGGCAGCCCTTAACGGTCCCAAAGATAGTGTCTAAGACGTAAAAGTCGAGCGTACTCGTAGCGGGTCTCAAGTTTCGTAGCCAATAAGTATAAGTTTATTGTATTTTAAGAAGCAGTAAAACAACATTACTTTAGCCAATCCACCCACCCCGATCCTACATATATACCAAATATTATTACCAAATATTAATAATTAATATTTATTTAAGAATTATATTAATATACACATCGACCCTCCTATTTACGTTTAAAATTGCTGGCAAATCCCGTTTTTCCAGCCACGCCAAAAACAGCAGGCCATTAGAATACCAAGAACAGTAAGAAAATGAAACTTGCAGAGAACGAGGAGCAGAAATATGCAAGATGGACGACTTTAATACCAGACAACTGTTCGCTCCTCGCGTGCACGTGGATTCTACAAATTCAGGAACGTGTACCAGGTACTAATAATTCGAGCAGCACCGCGTTTCATTCGTTACAGCTCGTTCCACGTAACCGATTGCGAGTTAGTCGCGAGCTTTAACGATCGGCTAAATCTTCCGGCGTGATGGCGCGAGGATTAACCGATATCGTGGTGGCGATAAACCCTTCGTTGCCATGGGACGAGGCGAACAGCAGAATGGAAGTAATAGCGGTGGCAATAAGTGCAATGGTAGCGCGACTATCAGTGGCAGGAATAGCGATTATGGCAGCAGAGACAGGGACCAAAGTGCAGGGTGAAACGTATTGGCGAGTAAAGGCCATATTTCCTGCGTTGATTTTCCGCAACGACGAACTCCAGTTGTTTCTACACACCTTGTATGCAATTCTGCGTGCACTCGCGTGTCTATTTCAATTATTCCACGCAATTATCTATGAAACTGTTCGTCATTCGGAAACGTATTTCGAGGAAAATATTTTTGGGGAAATATATAATATCTCGTGTTCAGGGGTCTGCATAAATTGAACAAAATTTTCAGTTTGATGGGTCTGAATAAATATTAATAATTAAAATAGGCGATGGAAATAATGGTGATAGTAATGGGAAAAATAATAAAATTTTTACTTGAAACTTAACCCTCTATGTGCCCGTGTAACTTTCAAGTTACATGCTAATGTATGGGTACTTTATTGAATACTGCGTTCAACGTTATCGTCTTGATCATTCCAGTTCGCGATTTTTCTTTCGATAAATTTATAATTATTTTTACAATACCTCCCGTGGTTCCATTTTAAAAAATTCTAATTCTTTTTCATTTACCGATTATTCGATCATGATAGGTTAGGTCCTCATGGCCCCCTATGACCTTTTCTCCACAAGATGGCGCCGTGGAAAATTATCTTGTCTATCTATTGCACATTATCTTGGCACAACAGTACAACCGTTGTTAATTCAAACTTTCAATATGAATTCGTTATAATAAAATTGTCAAAACTGCTGAATTTATTGGTTGATATTTGTTGATTTTATGTTACATACAATTCTTATAGTCAAGAAAAATATATATTCGGCCCATAGAGGGTTAAGTAAAAATTTTAGAGGGACGATCTTTGAAAAATAATAACAATAATAATAAATAATAACGAGAAATTGAATTTTCACAATTTAAAACAATTAATGACAGCTCGGAGGTAAATTTTTCAATTTCTAAGGACGAAATTAGAGGGTATAAATAAAATTTCTGATTTTCAACTAATTCAACGTGAAATCTAGACGAAACGTAGTTGAGGAGAGTACACGAAAGGAGGTTAATTCGAATATAAAATTACAGGTGCTTTTTTTAAAATGAAATTTCGCAATTGCTTTCCCATCTTGTTTCGTTAAATACGCTTCATTTGGTACCTGGCACATCGTCCCTGCTACAAATTTCAGCTTATTACCCCAACCTATTTGTACCCCCGATATTTTACAATGAAATTACAGACAAACTCCACGTAACACGCATAGTTAGTTAAAACTCTATCAACGCAGAACAAACTCCTTTGCAACCCGATTGGCCCTTGTTTACGAATTTCCCTATAAAATGGTTATCTATACTTCGTTTATCTCGTTAAAAAGTTTCATCAGCTATAGGTACTCGATATTCGGTTCTATCTACCAGCAAATGAAGCACTGTAATACCTCGCAATTAGCCTTAATCAGTAGCCTGTAATCAGTCTCAATTTCCCTCGCTTTGACGTATTCTATTGCTTCATAAAATACTTACTGTCGATATCATATAATAAGCTACTGTATAAAATTATTCTACAAAATATACAGTTTCATGTGCTTTCAAATTATTATATCATACATTAAACCGGTCATTCGAAGAATCAATGAACCTACATGAATATAAATCACGTCATAAATATTAAAAAAAAAAAACTTAAAAAATCAACAGAGTCATACGTCAAACTGATTATCTCGAATTTTCAAATTTTACCTGGAAGACACTTATGTTAACTCTTTGCACTCGATGATTTTTTTGGCTAGAAAAGAGTAGAAAATCAAAGACTCTCAATTAAAAACGATACTTTTGTTTAGCAGTAAATAAAGAATTGTATAATAATAGAATTGTAGATTTATTTGATTTCGATACCTTGCACACTGGTACATTTCATTAAATTTGATAAATTAATTAATATCGATATTCCAAATTTTACGAAATGGTGACTGAGGGTCACCTCTCGAGTGCAAAGGGTTAATTCTTGAAATACCGTTTCGACGTATTAGTGAACCCACGTGAATATAAATCATAGTATGAAAATTGAAAGAAGAAATAAAAAGAAAATCAACAGAATCACACGTCAAACTGAATACCTCGAATTTTAAAATTTTAGCCGGAAGACACTTGTGTTAATTCTTGAAATATCGTTTTGGTGGTATTATTATATATAATTATAGAAAATACCTGTTTCGTATTTCCAACCCCGTACCACAGGTAAAACGCTATAGCACCTTGATGCATGACCATCATATATGTTAAATACCTGGGGCAATAATTCAGTTCCTTTCTTCTATTTGGAAGCCCTACCCTTATACTTCAAATTCGGAAACTCCATGTAATAATAAAACACATAGCCCTACCAAGGGTCTATATGAATGCTGGACCTAGTAGCACGCGACATATTTGCCAACCATATATTGCCAACCCCATACCCCAAGTAAAACGCTATGGCATCTTGACACTTGGCCATCATATACCTCAAATACCAGTAGTATGAGGTAATAACTCAATTTATTTTTTCCATTTATAACCCCTACTCTTATACTTCAAATTGAGAGTTGTTTTCGTCATATATGAGTCCCTCAGGCAAACTAATGGCTTCCGCAGAACGCATATATGTGGCGCTGGTCTGCAAAGGGTTAATCGTCGTGAACCAAGAATGACCTAGTGACGATATAGAACTTGCCCGACGTATAAAATAAATTCCTATTTTGCAATATTTTGCAATATTTTGCAATATTTTTCAATAATTTGCCGATATTCCAAAAATAAATTAAGGTACTACAGTGTATTGAAAAAAATAAAATAAATTAACAAGGGTCGTTTGCAACAAGTATAAACTCAGTAATTTACAAAACCCAGTGATAAGTGTCCGAAAAAGATCGGACACTAATCACTCAGCCAAATAGGGGTAGAAACGTAAAAAAAGCTTGGTCGATGGATTCAAAGCTTCTTTTTGGAAGAAGCACTTGGTCCGTTTCGTGCAAGTGGTCCATCTCATCGGCCTAATGCTCGAACATAACCGAGGAAGGAGAAGAACGAGGGGAAAAACGAGGGGACAGGAAAGAAAGTGGCGGAGACTTACCACCATGTCAGAGCCACTCTTGGAGGCGTCGCTGACGGCGGAGGGGCTCCTTTCGACAACGAGACCTCCAGGTACCGGGGTTGAGGTCGGCGGTGTCGGGGTCGGTGTAGCCGCCGAGGTGGTGCTCGCAGGCTGGCTGGACTTCGGGGTCGGTGCTGGTGTGACGACGGACGACGTGGACACCGATTGATCCTTGTCGGAGCTAGCCTGGTTCGTCGTCCCGCCGACAACGCCGCCGATGATGGACACACCTGCTCCCGCGGCCGCTGTCGAACTCGAGGCCCCGGACAACTCATCCGTCGGCAAAGAGCTCCCAACGTCTGCAAGAGGAATTGCAAATAAAGTGAGATAAATTGGCTGATTACTGGGATGATGGATGGCTCAAGCGTGATTTAATAAGATCTTTTTTTAAGCAGATTTTTTGACGGAGAGGAAGAGGGTGATTTGCGAGAGGGTTGCTTTCTATGACGGATATAATGGGTGGATGGAGGTAAGATTGGCAGTGTGGAAGATGGTGTGTGTGTGAGAGAGAAAGAGAGATGTGGACACCGAGAGACTGAATGATATAAAAGAAAAATAATTTTTAGGAACACGTGTTTCTTATTTTTTTTATTATTTTATTTGGAAATATGATTAATAGAGTTATTCGGTATTATGTGTGAAAAATATTTCCATGGCATTTTCAATTTTTCAGTGATCACACTGTCATATTATAATAAGCTTTTTATTGGTAAATATATGTTTAGTTAAGGACACAACTTGTGAATTATTTAATATCCATCATAGTTTGGGGATGATGAAGGGGGTGTAAGAGTGGAGGAATCCTTTTGGACGTTTTTGTTGTTCCTGTTAATATTTATTATACACATCTTTTCGTCTATCTTTCTGATAATAATTTCTTTGAAATTAGTGCGAATTTAATCCTCTCCTGGTGACTTGTTAATTTTCTTTCATATGTTAATCTTTGTGAGATGATGAAAGGGGTGTGAAAAATATTGAATTGGAATTTTTTGGGTATAGGAGTCTAGGTAAAAAGGATGGCAATTTTTTTAGAAATTCTTTAGATTTTTGAATCCTAAATTCTTTTTCATCATTCTCCTTCTAGATATTTTCAAATTCTAAAGGCAGTAAGGGTAGTAACTTTTTTTAAATTCTTGAATTTTAAATTCTATTTTTCTTATTTTCCCCTTCGCAACATTCAGTGTCGTACTTAATGATTTAAAATAAAAATTGGAGTGTCGAATATGAATTTTTATATAACCTATCTCTAATGGTTAGAAGAAAAAAAAATTTCAGCACATAGAAAATTTAATATAAAAATAGCGTAAGTTTAGGTGCATCTTTGAGCAACAGGTAATTGATGTTCCCTGTTCAGGGGGAAAAAGTGAAAAAGTTCGCAGAGTTTCGTAATTTTTTACTGCAGACGAACTTTCTCGGCGAAAAATTACCCGAGAGATTGTTAAACGATAAGAAAGGGGATGTAACATCGATCTGAAGCTTCTTGACGAAGAGAAAAACACGCGAAGGTGGGTGAACAAGTTGGAAAAAGTTTATGAATTTTCTGTGTTACAATTTAAGAAGCCATCAAACTCGAAACTTTAAATTACAGATTAAGCGGAAACTAACAACCGAGGTATAATCGCGAATAAATTTGACTGCTTAATGCCAGAACAAAATGGCGCGTTGCGATCTATAAAATATCAAAAGAAACCAAGAAAACTTTCCAATTTCTTCCAGAAAGAGAAGAGCTTCCTCTATTATTTTCACAATTAATCCCAATTTTAATTACTTCCAATTTTAACCTTTCATCCTACCCTATTATAAAGAATTTCCGATATTAAATATTAAAGAAAAATCTAACTTTTAAATTCAAAAAAGATTCGTAGCTTCAAAAAAAAGACACTATATTAATAAATTCTACGAAATAAATATTATTTTCTAAAATAAAGGAAATAATTTCTTTTCTTTTACAAATAAAGAATTATAATAGAATTATAAAGAATTTCCGATATTAAATATTAAAGAAAAATCTAACTTCTAAATTCAAAAAAGATTCTTAGCTAAAAAGACACTATATTAATAAATTATATGAAATAAATTTTATTTTCTAAAATAAAGGAAATAATTTCTTTTTTTTATAAGTAAAGAATTATAGAGAATTTCCAATATTAAATATTAAAGAAAAACCTAACTTCTAAATTCAAAAAAGATTCTTAGTTTAAAGAAAGACACTATATTAATAAATTCTACGAAAGAAATTTTATTTTCTAAAATAAAGGAAATAATTTCTATCTTTTTACAAATAAAGGCGCTTTTTAAATATTGAAACGTTCCCTTCGGCGTACTCGACGTAATTCGTCGTATTGAAAAAGCTATAAGAGGAATCAAAGGAAAAGTTACTACCGGCCCTATTAAAGAACCTAACCTACAATAGACTCGATTGAATCGAACCACGATCAGAAAACAAGCGAAGGCTGGTTTTTCTCTCGACACTCTTTTTACCAGTCCGAATGCAACCATTGTTCCGATCGAAAAATCGTCGGACGATGACAGAAATTTGCTCGCAACTTTCCATTCTGCCAGGCTGATGCCAAGACGCGAGGGCAGGAGGCAGCGAGAACTTTTAAAACCGAGAATACAAAGCAAAGTCGCGGAAAGTTGGCCAGGTTCCTTCGTGAAATTATACACCAACAGACGGGGGAAAATTTCAAACAGCCCCGAGTAAACTAAAACTGAAGAGCAAGGTAAATCAATTGCACAAAACGCCTTAATTAATTAAACGCACGCTGACAAGCTCTGTTGCCAGAAATTACGGGAGTCTCTTTACTTTGAAATTTCCATCCAAATTAATCGATCGATATCGTTTCGTTTATTCTGCCCCCGATTTCCCGTTTAATTTCGACTATTTGCCCTGCTACCGTGTGTCGCGAATATTTGCCAGAAAATACAGAAATAGGGAAAAAATACGATGTTAATTTAATATGTCGGCTGTCCAGATGAAAATACTATATATGTTTTGCCTAACTTTAATTTCGATGCTTTTAATTCGGATTATTGATTTCATTAAGAGATATCACAGGTATTTTACAAAAAATTAAAAATAATAAAAATATTGTACAAGTTTGATAGATTGACAGTCGAAATAGCACACGCAGATTGAATACAATATTTGATTAGCCCAACTTCAGCGTTGGTACTTTTAATTTATATTACAATATTTACTGCACTAATATGTATCACGAATATTTATGAAAAATTATTTTAAAACGACACTGCAATATAATAAATTTTACAATAGTTGGAAATTAATAATTGAAAATAGAGAGGATAGTGTATTTGATTCGCCTAATTTCAACTTTGATGTCCTCAAAGTCTTCATTCTTATAGTCTTGGTGATATATTTCGGTATAGTAGTAGGATAGATTACAGATTAACACTCTTTTGATTTTATATTAAATAAATAACACCAATTTTATGTCTACGCCAATGCATTATCGCTTTACCCTAGTGGTTCTCAACTGGTGTACTGTGACTCTCCCAAAAGTAACGGAGTGCTTTTAAAAAGGTAGTCGATATTTGATATATATTTATTAAATAATTTAAATATTAAAATATTTTAAATAAAATATATATATCAACAAAAATTCGTGTACCCTACCTTCGCAATCATGGTACAATCTGATATCCGATATAACAGAAATCAATCAAAATATGGCGAATTAAACTCCCATTCCTTTTAATTAACGATAATCAATTAACCAAATTCGATAATCCGTGAGAATCAAAAATATTTTTAACTGGATCAAAACTTTTAACAAATTTGACACGGCGAATATTTTAAAACCATTCAGTTTTTAATTTGTTTTTCAGTTCGTTCCGTTCTATTTATTTATCAAGCTTTTCATTATTCAATTAAAAGCGTAACGTAAATAAATGTAAGTTATTTACTAGAATTTGCAAACTGCCTGCCCGTACGTCACGGCTAATATAGTTTAGTGCCCGGTGCACATGACATTTCTGCATCGCGGAGTTATTCGAAACTTCTACAAACCACGGAGTTCATACGGTTGATACTTTGGTCAGTATGATATTCGAAATTTACTCGCTAATTCAATTACAGAACCATCGTTTCACCAACAAGTTTAACGTTAATAAGCGAGACAACGAAGAGGGCAACGCCGGTTATGCCAGTTACACACCACGAGATAGCGACAGCAGTGTCGGATGTTTTCAGGCGTGGGTGTAGCTATGAAATTTTATTTCTCAATTTAATCGAGATTAAAAATACAAAATTATCCCTACGAAGTGCCATATTATGATGAAAAGAGAGATGAGTTTACTTTTAAAGAATAGCAGGTGATTATTTTCGAAAAATAGAACATGTTTTCAGGCTTGGGTGTGGCTATGAAATTTTATTTCTCAATTTAATCGAAATTCAGAAAAAGAAAATTACCCTAATGAGGTGTCGTTTTATGATCAAAAGAGAGATGGGTTCACCTTTAAATAATGAAAGACGAAGGTACGATAATATTTTCCAAGGGGATGTTCCATTTTCGAAAAAGTGAAACATGTTTTCAGGCGTGGGTGTAGCTATGAAATTTTATTTCTCAATTTAATCGAGATTAAAAATACAAAATTATCCCAACGAGGTGTCGTTTTATGGTCAAAAGAAAGATAGGGTTGTTATTATTAAAGAATGGCAGATAAAGACACAATAATATTTTCCAAGGAAATATTCCATTTTCGAAAAAATGGAACATGTTTTCAGGCTTGGGTGTAGCTATGAAATTTTATTTCTCAATTTAATCGAAATTCAGAAAAAGAAAATTACCCTAATGAGGTGTCGTTTTATGATCAAAAGAGAGATGGGTTCACCTTTAAATAATGGGAGACGAAGATACTTTAATATTTTCCAAGAGAAATAATATTTTATCTTCGAAAAAATGAAACATGTTTTCAGACATGGGTGTAGCTATGAAATTTTATTTCTCAATTTAATCGAGATTAAAAATACAAAAGGAAAATGGAATTACTATTAAAGAATGGAAGATGAAGATACGATAATATTTTCCAAGGGAACGTTCCATCTTCGAAAAAAATGAAACATGTTTTCAGACGTGAGTGTAGTCATGAAATTTGATTTCTCAATTTAATCGTGATTAAAAATACAAAATTATCCCAACGAGGTGTCGTTTTATGATGAAAAGAGAGATGGGTGAACTTTTAAAGAATGGTAGATGGAGATACGATAAGATTCTCCACGGGAATGTTCCATCTTCGAGAAAATAGGGTACGCAAAGTGTAGACTTAAGGATAAAAAAAATTGGATTGGAAGATAAGGCTGTAAGGAATAGAAAGTGGAATTTAAATTACCTTGGGCGCTTCTTGCTACGACCAACTCAACCAGACCACGTGCCTTCTGAAGGATCGAGATTGCCTGCTCATGAGAGATGTTCGAGTCTAGTGGTTGTCCATCTATCGCCAATATCTGATCTCCCTCTACCAGTCGGCCATCACTGAAACAGAGCAGTTCACGGTTTAATGAAAGAAACCATCGACCAAGGCAATTTCAAGCTGTCAGAAAAACACTTCCTCCGATTTTTATACCGCCAATCATAATTCTCGCCGACCTCTAATTCGCGTAAGCCGCTTATGTTATCCATCTCGAGAGCAGCTGCTTTGCAATTATTTCCTAACGTTTCGCGGGAAAAGTAAAACGATATTTATCATTGCTCGGTGCTTGCAGTTTCCATAACAACTTCCAACAAAATCTTCGTAATTCATACAAATAAATTTAAAAAAATAAAATGACAAATAAGAAAATCAGTACATAGTGATGATTATGAGAATAGTATAATTAAACAGAAATTTGGAAGAAATTATTTCACTAATATTTGCATTACTGTGTATTAAAATGAAGCTATTTCTGGTGAAATAAAAATCGGAAAAAATTAATAAAAATGGAACGATAATAAAAAATGAAAAAATAAAATATTAACACGAATAGAAAGACTTGATAGAAGAAAATAAATTAAATATATTTTAAACGAAATATAGAATCTTTTTCCATTATTTAATCTTAAGAAATTTGAAATAAACTTATTTTATTCGATAAATAATTTTTTTACAAAAATTTTTACAAAAATTCCAGGATTCGATGGGATCGAATTAAAGAAAGAGGATAACGGTTTATAAGGAATATATAATTGGATGAAACGAAGTTATTGCGATGATTTCGAGGAATGCAAAGGAACCATATGTCGAATGAGAAGCGTTTAGTATTAAGCCTGGCGTCCGGTTTTCTATTAAACGGAATTTCATCGAACCGATGCACTAATACGTTTCCAGGGCCATTAGATTCTATTAACCGGACTAATTGAGATAGTCACGGTTAAACCTGCCGCATTTACATACCATTTCTCTACAGCTGCGACGCAAATTGATTGCGATCAACGTTCGTTAAAATGCGGTTCGATTAAAGGCTAATTAAAATTCAAAGAACTGTTAAGTTTCCAGAGGAACGTCGTGCCAGGTATACCGAGTTTTCGAGAGCAACTGTAATGAATGTAAACGATGAATAATTACTACATCCTCTTACATCTTCCTCTGAAATATCTCCTTTAGAATATTTTTCCGAAAATTCTCTAGAAGATAATAAATTATATAACTTATTCGTATGATATATGTAAAAATAATATTTAAAAAATAATTTCTATAAAAACAATTTTCATATATAATATTATATAATATCCAGGAATATTTATAAATTTACACGACATATTTATTTACATTTACATGACACCTACGTATATTTATTTTGTAAATACTATTGCAATATCTTAGACAACCATAGAGGTATCATGCAATAGTAGTGTTTACTGTCCCAAAATTCGCGGGAGATTTGAATTTCGCGCCATTAATGCGGTAAAGTATTGACAACAACAAAAAAAGACAGCATGACAGCTGACAGTTCAGAGTTATTAAAAATGAAGTGCTACATGAAAGAACAACGCATCTTCATTATTGAATAATATTTCTAATTTCTAATTAACACTAGATTTACGGACGCTATCTGTATACCTATTTCTAGAGACACCTGTCAAATTGACAGATAAAGGAAACCACGTGCCTTTTTTCTTTAACGATTAGTTTAATTTAAAAACAATTATATATTATATTAACAGTCTCAATATAAGTTAACTAAATCTGTTACCATCGTATAATTGGAGCAACCTTTCCGTCAAACTGACGGGTTCCGTAAATCTAGTGTTAAAAACCTGTGTTTTCTGTCAAAATTAATTCTTGCGTAAACCAATATACAATATATAAATATTCACAAGGAAAGATACTTTTCGTGTACACCATCTATTGCAAATACTTTTTCCAGAAAAATAATCGTGAATTCTCCCTTCGACATTACTGTAATAATTTAGCAAACTCTAACTTCGGTCAAGCAACAAACAAAATTTCGCAAATTTTTACAAATTATCCATTTAAATCCGTTAATCCGTCGTTAATCCGTTCGATTATTTCCCAATAAGCTTATTACTGTCTCGGAATAACGTGTTCGAAATGAATTAACGTTATAAAAGATCACACCGACGTGTCTGCATGCACCGTTCACCATTTTCCGCTTCAAAGCGAGGGAAACGCGACACAAAACGCGGCGTTGCGGGGGAAGGAGGGGAAAAAACACGTTTAGATAACAGAATGTTTGGACAGCGAAGGATTCCGATAACAGAGATTTCACTGTGCCTCGTCTGTCACATGGCCGGTCGCAATCTGTCATGAAATCTGAAGTTCAAAAGCGAAAATCAACGTGACAAGACAGACCGTCAGGTGATCCTCGACAGCATACAGGCCGGTTTTTTGGAACTTGGCCAACTACGTCGCGTTTCCGTTCACGCAGGTGCGCCTTCATTAACGATCCACCTTCCAAAATATTTCCCACCACCTCTCGTTTGGATCTAATTCTCCGCTTTGATTCTCACCAATTAAATAACCCGCGTGACAGCTAACTCGGTGACAGACGAATCTTCTATTCTTGACTCCATTTCTCGTGTTTGGAACAGTAACAAGAAGCCTCAATTTGCGTTTTGCATTAAAAATAACGAAGATTATCTTAAACATACGTCGAAAATTCGAGATACATTAGAATCGGGCCTAATTGCTTGTGAGATTTGACATATCTTAGATTGCAGACTAGGTGCTGTGATATTTTGGATGCTAGATGAAGCTCCAATTGCAGACGTAATTATAGAGTAAGTTTCAAGGCATGTCAACAGCCTGATTTGGATTTTAAAGTAGCTTTCTGGGTGCTTCAAGTCCAACTTTGAACTCTTTCAGATTGCTGTCAAGACCATAGAAAATTTTAGTTTCTAGAGTAGATGTCAAAGTATTATAAATTCTAGAGGTTTCGAGACATTTTGCATTTCAGAATAGGTCCCAAGATGTTTTAGGTTCTACTTCAAGTCTCAGGATAGTCCAGATCCCAGACTCCAGGCTAGATCTTGAGACATGTCACATCCTAGACTAACTCCAGAGATGTTTGACATACTAGAAGTCTCACAGTAGATCTCGAGACATCTTAGACTCTAGCATATGCTTGTAGACATTTCAGATTCCACTTCGAGCCATACCAGATCCCAGTCAAGGTCTCAAAACGTATAAAATTCTACTCTGAATCATCAGATATTTAAAATCTCAATCTAGATCTCGAGATATCTAAAATTCCAGATTAAACAGTGGATCTCAAGACACTGGACTCTAGGATCCAATTAAAATTTAAAATCACAAAATATCCCAGGATCTACCTCGAGTCGTAAGTCATTTCAAATTCCACTTGGAGTCACGAAGAATTTAAAATCCCAGTTTAAAGACGTTTCAAATTGCACTTTGCATCCCAAACCTTTCACATTTTACTCTCAGCCATCACCTATCGTTCCTTCCAATCCATGTCTCATTTATCCCCGTAACCAGTCTCCAAGAATCGGGAATCGAAGGGATCCAGTCCGTTTAACACGAATAATGATCCCATCTCGGAAAATCCTCGCGGAACGTCATTATCCGCGTTCATCGATCCATCGGCGACCAACTCTCGAAGCTTTCTCGCAGGGTGCAAGCTCCAGTAGCCTGGCAAAGGGTATTTAGTGGGCCAGATAGCAGTCGCGTTACCTAATTTCCACTGAAGCGAATTTCACTGCTAACGACACCGTGTTGCCACGATCACGCTAACCCACGACCCGAATTTTCCCGGATCAAAGGCGTGCCGATCCGTGACACGATTTGCACTGTGTTTCAGATTTCATGCCACCCATAGTCGCTTTGGGGATGCATCCTGCCGGCCCGACACACCGTTGGACCTCTGGTCATTGGTGAAAATGATGTTTGACTTTCTACCACGACATTCGTTTCGTTTTCACCGTGATTATACTCGTGGTTGGCAGTCAGATTAGTTTACAGTTGTCAGTGAAGCTTCTGTTCGCTTTGACGAGCAATTTGCGAGAATTTTCCTGCATTTGTTCTAATATCGGAGGAATCGGTGGAATCTCGTTAATTCGGAGACAAATTAGTCAGGGTTTTGTTTGCCTATCGGGGGAATTTGCAATGGAAGCCTACTAATTTTAGGAATATGTGTTCGCCGTGGAATTTGTTTAAATATCAAATACATTACAAATATTTTGATTCCCTAATATTGTAATATTGCAAGTAATGCTATTCAAAAATTTATCATGGAGAATATATCTTCTCTTACTCCCAAAAGACCATCTAGAATTATTGAGAAATACAGGAATACCAAATTCTCTAATATTCTAATATGAAAATTAATACCACTCAAAAATTTATCACGAAGAACATAACTTCCCTTATCCTAAAAAACAATCTAAAATCTCTAACATCTATCTAATATCTAATACAATAATATCTAATCTAATATCAATTCCAGATTTTCTAATATTATAATATCACAACTAATTCTAGATAAAAATTTATCACGAAGAACATAACTTCCCTTACCCTAAAAAACAATCTAAAATCTCTAACATCTATCTAATATCTAATACAATAATATCTAATCTAATATCAATTCCAGATTTTCTAATATAATATCACAACTAATTCTAGACAAAAATTTATCACGAAGAACATATCTTCCCTAACCCTAAAAAACAATTTAAAATTTCTAATATCTATCTAATATCTAATATAATAATATCTAATATCTAATATCTAATCTAATATCAATACTAAATTCTCTAGTATTCCAATGTCACAATATATATCTTCTCTTACTCCCAAAAGACCATCTAGAATTATTGAGAAATACAGGAATACCAAATTCTTTAATATTCTAATATGAAAATTAATACCACTCAAAAATTTATCACGAAGAACATAGCTTCCCTAACCCTAAAAAACAATCTAAAATCTCTAACATCTGTCTAATATCTAATATAATAATATCTAATATCTAATCTAATATCAATCCTAGATTTTCTAATACTCCAATATCACA